ATTCAGTCAGCATCGCTGAAGCACAGAACCTCACATTGGAACGCGCTTCCCCGGCCTGTTCTACAGATAGGGAAAGCGAAGACCTGTTCACTTCCTGATGCTTCTAGGTGAGATTCTGGGCTCAACAGCATCCATGTATCCAATGACAGGCGGGCCTTCCCTGGTACAGAGGGTGGTGCCAAAGGAAGACGACTACATTTCCCAAGATGCACACCGTAGGCATCCCAATGCATGCTGGGGAATGTAGTCCCGACCCGACAACCCCTTTCGTCTGAGTTTCCCACCGCCAGCCAAGATCTCAGAAGCTGTACTTTGGCCTCTTGTCACTCGCAGCTCCTTCGTAGACCACAGATTCCTTCACTCGGCCTCTCCCTCCAGTCCTTCAGCTTTGATTCTTTCCTAATACTTGGAGAGGCACTGTTATCCTGCCCCAGCCCGACCCCAGCCCTTCTTCAGGGTGTACTCACCCATATATTCGGTGCTCTAACCCCCGAACCCAAGCCCCTGAAGCCTCAACTCCAGGCCTCCTCTAAACCCTTGCGCCTGCCCCTTCTCCCAATCAACCGCTGGTTACCTGACACCGGCGTCTCCTCCCTCCCCCGACCCCCCCACCCCCACCCCGCCCAGGTCTTTCCCCTCCCAGACTCCGGGGTGGGGTGGTGTTGACAGAGATCCAAATCCCAGCTCTCGACCTCACTCCTATTCCCGTGAGGGACCCAGGATCCGGTCACTCAGTCCCTTACCCAGACTCCCCTCCCTTTGGTTCATGTTGGCCCCAGGCCGATCCCGGTGTCCCTCAACACACCCCTACCGCAGGGGAGGAGGGGAGGGGGGGAAAAGGGGGAAAGGGCTAGGGGCGTGGCTCGGGCTCGGCCAATCATCGCTCAGACCCCAAACATTTCCTTCCCACCACCACTTTCAGGCAAGATTCCTTGGCCCTGAGCTCAGTAACTGGCTTGTGAGGAGGCTTAGCCTGGGAAGGGGCCAGAGTGGGGAGGCAGGTGTTGGCGCAGGGGGTGGACACTTGGGCCTTTAAGGCAGCTCTCGTGTCTTGCTGGGAGGAGGAGACTCAGGCTCCGACCTGAGGTAGAGCTTGACAATAAGGGCCGCTTTGAGAGGAAAGCTGGGAAACCGGAGAGGAACGCTTCAGGTCCTCCCTCTGGGTCAGGACAAAGAGAGAAGCCTTTCGAGATTAGGGTGCACCTAAGGCATGCACCCCCTGGCCTAGCTTCTTGTCTTAGATGGTTTGTATTTTCTCTGTCACTCTGATCAGGAGTGAGACAGCCCTTCCCTCACCTTACGGTTACAGACCCCGCCCCTCCTCTCTCTGTCTCTGTCTGTCTGTCTGTCTCTCTCTGTCTCTGTCTCTCTGTCTGTCTCTCTGTCTCTCTGTCTGTCTCTCTGTCTCTCTCTCTCTCTCTCTCTGTCTCTCTCTCTCTCGTGTGTTTAGGCATCCGGACCCAGACTCTCACACAGGTGAGCACAGGCTTCAGCTCGGTCACACCCTAACAGCAGCTCATCAGCCCGAGGGAGACACTGGAAACACTGGACACACTTGTCTCTACTATTGGTCCCAAGCACCTACTCTGTCTGGGCTCTGGCGCAGAGAGGATCCATATTTGGTCTCAGGCTTCAGATAATGGAGTTTGTGAGCACAAGGACTGAAAGGCCTGTGTGAGGATGTTAACATGAGCAAACGATCAGAACAAAGGAATTCATTACCGGAGCTCATTACAGGTGCATTTGAAGCCAGACTGTCAGCAGTGGCCACAACCACACACTAACCAGCAGCGTTGATTGAGTGTTCACTGTGTGCCAGACACTATCCTAAACGCTGTGTGTGTGTGTGTGTGTGTGTGTGTGTATGTGTGTGTATATATATATATATATATATATATATATATATTTATAATATATATGTATGTATATATATATCTTATTTCCATGTTATAGATGAGGCCATAAAGTCATGCAGGTGGGTGAGACGGAGCTGAGATTTTACCACTTACAGTTTGGTTCCAGAAATGCTGTCCGACATGGCGGACACGATCACACCAAACTTTGCAGGCCCCCCTCACACACACAGCACAGCAGACATGTCCAAGCTATTGATGGGTCAACTTCAAATAAAATCAGCCAAGAGGCACTCATTTCCGTTTCATGGGGGGGTGGGGGGGGAGAGCACATGTGCATCTGAGTGCGGTTGCTGGAAGGCCAGAAGAGGGCATTGAATCCCCAGGAGCTAGATTTACAGGCAGTGCAACATGGGGTGCTGGGAACTAAACTAGGGTGTTGTAGAACATTATTTTAAGATGGGTTACATTTGTTTATGCTGTGGAACATTTGTTTAACGATGATGTAAAGAGGTGTTGCATTCTTTTATGTTGCATTTATTTAACTCTGTGAAGCTTTGTTACTTTCCTGTCTAAAACACCTGATGGTCAGCCAGGCAGTGGTGGCACAGGCCTTTAATCCCAGCACTTGGAAGGCAGAAGAGGCAGGTGGATCTCAGTGAGTTCGAGGCCAGCCTGGTCTACAGAGCTAGTTCCAGGACATCCAGGACTGTTACACAGAGAAACCTTGTCTCGAAAAACCAAACAAAAATACCTGATGGTCTAATAAAGAGCTTAATGGCCAATAGTGAGACAGGAGAAAGGATAGGCGGGGCTGGTAGGCAGAGAGAATAAATAGGAGAAAAAGAAGAAACAAGAGGATCAGGGAGGGAGATCAGAAGGGACCAGCCACACAGCTACACAGCCAGACACGGAGTAAGAAGGAAAGAAAGATTACAGAAACAGAGAAAGGTAAAAGCCTAGAGGCAAAGGATAGATGGGATAATGTAAGAAAAGCTGGCTAGAAACAAGCCAAGCTAAGGCCGGGCATTCATAAGAAAGAATAAGACTCCATGTGTATTTATTTGGGAGGTGGGTGGTGGGCCCCCCAACGAGTACAGAGTAGAAAAATGAGCATCTACACTCGGGTCCTCTGGAAAACCAATAAGGGCTCTACCCACGGAGCCTTCTCTCCAGCCTCTATTTTCTTTCTTTTAGTTCTTTTGAGACAGGCTTTCACGGCTTTAACCCTGGCTGTCCTGGATGGACCTCACTCTGTAGAGGCCGGACTTGAACTCACAGGGATCCACCTGCCTCTGCCTCCTGAGTGCCACCACCACCCAGCCCTTTCTTTCTTTTTTGAGACAGGGTCTCACTATGTATCCTTGGCTGGGCTGGAACTCAATATGTAGACCAGGCTGGCGTCTAGCATGTAGAGATTTGTCCGTCTCTGCCTCCCGAGTGTTGGGATTAAAGGCGTGAGCCGGCATACTTGGTTGGTCTTACTTTTTTTTTTTAAAGAAAAACCCTCTACATTTATTTTGCGTATGTACGATGTTTAAGGTGTCTGGAAATGAGAGATCTCAGGGTTCTCTTCTGCCACGTGGGGTCTGAGTTACTGAACTCAGGTCATCAGGTTGGTGGTGGCAAGTGCCTTTCCCAATAAGCCATCTTGCCAGCCTTCATTTTAAGTAATCTTTCAGCGAACTATAATATACAAAAGAAACATTACACTTGCAACGTGTGTACACCTGGACAGACTAAAGAACGGAGTGTGACAAGCTCCCAGAAGCCCCTTCTTCTCCCCTGTGGCCCCAAGGGTGCTCACAGACCCGACCGCCCAAACCGTCAGGATGTTTGTTTCCTGAACGGACATGGTAGAACCATCTAATGCATGCCGCCACACTCACACCCGCTTTCTTTTATTCAAGGCTTATCCCCACTGTTGGGCATGGCAGGACTTTGGTCATTCTGGTTGATGTGTCTGTGTCCGGATGTGTCTGTGTCCGCGGCATAAACAGGTTTGTGACTGGCTTTTCACTACATTCTGTTGTGGCTTTGCTCCCAGGTTGTGCTATCCCTGAAAAGAGCAACAAACTTTCCAGTACACGCCTTGGTGGTTCGCACAGAAGCATTCTGTCCCCATGAGGTTTCTATTGCTGTGGTAAGCACCTTGATCAAAAGGAAGGCAGGGAGGAAAGAGTTTATTTTGGTTTACAGTTACAGTCCAGCGCGAAGGGAAGTCAGGGCAGGAACTCAAGGCAGGACCCATCTGCTCAGGGGTGGCGCTGCCCACAGTGGTCTGGGCTCTCCCACGTCAGTTATTAATAAAGAATATGTCCCACAAACTTACCTACAGGGCAATGTGACAGTCATTTTCTCAATCAAGGTCCCCTCCTCCCAGACGACCCTAGCTTGTGTCGAGTAGACAAAAAAACCTAGGCAGCACACATTTCTTCGGTTGGGCGTTGACAACTTGGGACTGGAATAGCTGGGAAACCGGGCTGGCTTTACGTTGAGCTTCACTGGGAAAGTGCCAGTTTTCCCAAGTATCTCCACCAGTTCCACTCCCTGATTCAGGGAATGCCAAGTTGTTCTGCTCCTTCAGCTACACGGTCTGTCTTTTTCACTTCCGCCGTTCTGGCGGAGGAGGCCCGCTCGGCACTCGCGAGTCCGGCACGCACTTGGCACTGTTAATGAGACTTGAATGAATGGATGGACAAGTTAAGTTGGGCAGCGCAGAATCCAAACAGCCTGGAGAGGGCAGACGCGCGCACACACAGCATTTCAGGGACGCCCACCCGCCGCGGACGCACACCAGGACAGTCCCTCTCGCGCACCCCTGTGCCCACGTGGCCGGAACGCACCGCCTCGCTCGGGCCGCGCGCGTCCAGCCGCACAGCTGCCCCCCAGCTCTCCCTCTCCGCGGCGGGCAGAGGGCGCTGTGCGTCCGTGCG